AAATGCATCATTCATGACTGCTAGAGCACAGTTATGGGTTATGTTGCGCCAGTTCTGTGTCTTTCTTCTGATCGTGAAATCCCATTTTAATGAAGCCTCCTGTTGCCAGTTCTGAATATAGTAGCACATCCTTGAAGAGCTGCATATAATGAAGAGCATTCAAAGTTGATTACAGATTGTGTTTTTGGCTTCAAAACTACCTTACAGCCAGTCGTGCTATGTTTCATTTCTTACACTTTGTCTTTCAAAGAGAATAGTCCAACAAATCCTAAAAAATACTAGCAATATTTTAGATTTTTTCTCTGTGACCTAAAATGTTCTATTGAGAGTACGTTTCTGTTATTCTGTGCGAGCTTTCCTGACAAAAGATTACATTGCTTACTTTCCTCTAATAAATTTGGTTGGTTTGGTTTCACAAAAATTGGTTGGTGAAGTTCTTCTCTTTCCTGCCTTAGGGTTTCCGAGTCCAGACCCTGAAATAGCCCCTAGCATAGAAGTGAAAATGTTACCAGATATGACTTCCTCATATTCTTACAATGATGAGAGAACCTGCATCTGGGGGAATGTCCCCTTCTATGCACCTCTTAATGGAAAAAGAATGTTAACAGGTTTAGATCTGGCAACCCTATGCCCCCTTCACTTTTTTTCTTGTATTGCTCTCTCTGGTTTCCCCATGTTTCTTGCCTTCAACATTTCCAGCTTTAAGGTGCATATGCGTGCCAGGCAAAACACAACAGAAGCCAGTATGAAAACATTAAGGAGGCAAAGCTTTGTATTCATGCCAGGAAGCACTTCACCTGCTTAAGTTCTTTGTGTCAGGTTGCTAATAAAGGTATAGGAACAGAGCAAAACAAAAAAGTGGCATTAAAATTATCTTCCAGCAGCACACTTCTGTTGAATTGTGCTCCTGTCCCCTAATGAATGTGGTCATCTTAGTAGACATTTTACTCATGACTTGTGGCATGTAGAGCTTGTTCTTAACCCACCCACCTCCTATGAAGAGGTAAAAACTTCTCGTGTGCTGCTTTATACTTTGCAGAAGGCCTATATTGTCAGAATAATCTCTGAGATGCAGAAAAACATCAGAGTTGGAGTTTGTTCTGAGGAAGAACAAACATAATGTTATAAAACAGATCGACCAGAGGAGGTGGGGGAAAGAAGGTAGAAACTTTACCACTAAACCAAATAAAGCACTATATCCTACTTGTTAACTATTAAAAATACTTTGGAAGAAACCTGACTTAATGGCACAAGTCTGAAGCAGAGTTACAGCCTTCCAAATTCTAAATCTTCTAAATCTCCATTCAGCCATGAAACTCACTGAGTGACTGATCATTCTCTCTCAGCCTAACCTATGTCACAGGGTTGTTGTGAGGATCAAATGAGGCAAAGGATTTTCTGTTCCACCTTGAGCTTCTTGGGGGATGGCTGAGATTTAAAAATGTAGAAATAAATGGTAAGAGATTATGGTCCATTTCGTTTCCATCCTTCATTGGCGGGAGATGCATAATATATTTTAGGAAGCAGTGATGTAAACGATCTAACAAAACTTCAGTACAGTGAAAACAGGACACCGTTCTGGCCTCTCTTAATCCAGAATAGAATACTTTACACTGTAGAATGATATGTGCTGGTTTGCACATACAGTTTAAGGCTCTGATACCATAAAGCAGGGACTGGAAGATGTCTTGTAACCAGGATTATGTGCATGCTGATTATTGGATTGTACACACTTCTTACCCAAATTCTGTTCAACTAAAAAGTGCATGCCACTGACCTATATAATGTATGTAAATTGAAAGCCAGTGTGGTGTACCGATTAGAGTGTCAGACTAGGATCTAGGAAACCTAGGTTGGAATCCCTGGTCTGCCATGTGCGTTTCTGGATAACCCTGGGCCAGTCACACTCTCCACCTAGCTTGCCCCACAGCGTGGTTGTTGGGAGGATGACATGGACGAGAGGAGATTGATGTAAGCTGTTTGGGGTCCTCATAAGGGAGAAAGGTGGGGTAGAAATGAAGTTAATTAAGAAAACTTGTGTATTTCACTGTGTCACACACACAAAACCTTTATTGGTATGAAAGCACAAAACATCATGGAAATATGGGAAAATACTAAGATGCATCAGTCACTTACACTTGGCTATTCAAGCCTCGTCTTCTGATTGCATAATATAAAAATTTTGCAACAGCCTCCATTATTTCGCAATTAGAATTAAACAGAAGAAAGTGAACAATTGAGTCATCAGAGTGCCAGCTCTTACCCTATAGAAATGGAGTAATATTTCACTGTGTTTTGCATGCTTTTGTTTCTTCTGAGCATGAGGAGGAACAATGATGTATTAGGGCAGATGTTTCTTGCATACTGACTCCTGGAAATCTTGCCTCTCTCCATTACCTATTCATACACACAGTTTTAAGGGCTAGAAATGTACTTCTTTAAAATATGAATGCTGAGATTCTCTGGGTGCTGATTTATGACAGCAGCAGTTTCTGCACTTGTAAGGAATAGTCACAGGATCTTTAGCCCAGTGTCTCTCTTGAGAGCCAGTGCCATAGTTTGGTTAAAATGCTGGCACGGGATTTGGGAGACCCAATCTAATCTCTTGTTAGAAGTGAGCATGTCTCCACTCATGGATATTAAATGATCTAATGCTAGAATGACTGGGCACTGTAATCTGTGAACAACTCCTCAAGGCTTTAAGAGCATCTGGTAACAGGAGAAAGGTTATGCCTGTACCAAAAGTTTCAAATTGGTGTGGGCAGCTTTAAACACAACATTCTCTTTCAGGATATGGAAATGTTGCTCCTAAGACTCCATCTGGGCGGCTTTTCTGTATATTCTATGGACTCTTTGGTGTTCCTCTCTGCTTAACGTGGATCAGTGCTTTGGGCAAGTTTTTTGGTGGACGTGCCAAGAGGCTGGGTCAATTCCTGACAAAGAGAGGAGTAAGCCTGGTATGTATTTCTGTATGCCCTGACCCCCTAAAGAGGATATGTGTGACTCTGGGGCCTTTTAAATTGCTATCCTGGATAATCCTCTTTTCCTTAATTTATACAGAATGTTATAAGCTGCTTCTCTGGAACATGAAATATGCCTCAAGGTCTATCTGCCATTTATGTTATATGATATTAGTGTTGACATGCACCTCAACTGCATGCAGTAGAAATTAACATCACATGGAATTAAGGACAAGATGGCACAGTAATTTAAAGTTTTGGCACACATTCCTCAATAGCTATGTAAAAATGAAAAAAGTTACTGCGCCATAACTAAGACATAATTATTTATTATTATTATTATTATTATTATTATTATTATTATTATTATTATTATTATTATTATTCTATACTGGAGAAAGCAGTCCCGCAGATAATGTTTGCCACATGATGGCAAAGACCCACTGCTTGATAACTGTTCCAGAACTGGTTAACTTGCAAATACCTAAGGATAACTTTTCACAGCATCTGTCTCCTGTTTGAAGTATAAGTGGTTTAAAGAACATTTTAAAAACCTGTCTGTGTTGAACAGTTAATCATATGGCCTTTCTAAAGCAGCAAAGTGTGACTTTCAGGCTTTATCTGGATTGTTCCAAAACCCCAGGTGTGCAAGTATATTGCATCAGGAATGGAATGTTCAGACATTTCTGTGTTGCATCTATGTTGTCTTCAGTAGAAGAAATGCAAACTTATAATCACAAAACCCAAAAATAATAAATGATTACTAAAGTGGAGGAGTGGGGGGAAACTGTTCCAGTTTTGCTCGGGCGCAGCGCATCTCGGAATCGGGTCTGGCCTTCCGCCGAAAAAAAAACCTCTTCCTCGGGAGAAGAGCGCTTGCCACTGGGAAGGGCCCCTTGGCAGTTCCCACCCCTCCAGGAACCGCACCTCATGGCTCATTGTCTTTTCTCTCAGGATCAGGTCCAGAATACCAAAGAACTGCTCAGCAACGTGGCGGCAGACGAAGCCAGTCTGGAAGCCAAGATCGAAAAGAGGAAGGCGGAGCTGGAACGGAGCCGGAAGCGGCTGCAGACCCTCCAGAGCGTTCGGTAAGGGCTGGTGCCCCGCGGGGTGTGTGTGTGTGTGTGTTCAGGTGCAGCTCTCCTGCTCCCCGGAACAGCAGGAGAATTTTGAGCCGGCAGAACTCTGTTGTCTGCAGAGCATTACGAGCACAATTTATCTGCCACCTGCCAGCTCACCCCCCCCCCTCGTTACACCTGTGCAGTTATCCATTTTCCCCAGTTATTGGTCCTTTTCACTGCCGTGGTGCTCATTTAACGCGTTACCGAATAATTAAGTGCGGCTTTTCCAAACGAAGAGTTAAAGCCCTCCATTAAAAAAACCGGGACTCATTAAAAGCAGATGAAATCTTAACAGGTCCCGTGCTTTGTGTTTAAGGGAATTAGAAGCTTTATGTGCAAGAAGTAGCTGTCTCGGATACGAGGGCTTGTGCGTGATCCTGCAAAGCACATCCCAAATGCATCCCCCCCCCATAATCCTCTTTCAAGGCTCCATAGTGCTGTACTGGGCCTCATGAGAGTTGAAAAAGCAGAAAGAATGTGGGATTCTTTTCATTTGCTGCGTAGTTCCTCGGCCTTTTGCATTTCCTTGCCTTTCCTTTGTCAGGTGCGGCTCGGTGACCATGAGGGCTAGAAACATGTATTTAAAAAGAAAAAAAGAGCGGTCGTTCTTAAGGCTCTCTCAGGCCGCACAAAATAATCTCGGAGCACTACGCAGTTAAGTAGGTGCATGCACACGAAAGCGGAGACCCAGAATTAAACTTTGCTGGTCTTGAAGGTGCCGCTGGACTCAAACTTAGTTCTGTGGCTTCACACCAACATGGCTACCCCACCTGGATCCATCTGAAGAACTGTGCCATGCACGTGAAAGCTGGTACCCAGAATCAAACTTTGCTGGTCTTAAAGGTGCCGCTGGACTCAGACTTTGTTCTGTGGCTTCAGACCAACACGGCTACCCCCCTGAATCTCTCTATCTATATATAAGGCTTGAGGAAGTCAGTTCCGCTGTATCTGAGGAAGTGTGCGTGCACACGAAGGTTTATACCCCGAATTAACCTTTGCTGGCTTTAAAGGTGCCGCTGGACTCAGACTTTGTTCTGTGGCTTCAGACCAACACGGCTACCCCACCTGAACCTATCTATATATAAGGCTTATATCTGAGGAAGTGTGCATGCACATGAAAATTTATACCCCGAATTAACCTTTGTTGGTCTTAAAGCACTGCTGGACTCAAACTTAGCTCTGAGGCTTCACACCAATGTGGCCACCCACCTGGATCTATCTGGAGAAGCGTGCGTGCACACGGAAACTTGTACCCGGAATGAAACTTTGCTGATCTTAAAGGCGCCTGACTGGACTCAGACTTTGTTCTGGGTTGAACGCTATTATCGCACCTGCCTCACAAAGCAGCTTATTTTTCGGATGGTTAAAGAACAAGTGGGGAGTCGGTAATAGGAGTATTTTGACTGCATTGGCAAGTGGCGTTTATAACGACGCTTTCAAGCGTTCAGAGCTTTTCCTCTTGCAGTCTTTATGACGGCCTCTCAAAGGAGGCGAGTGTTGTGGTCAAAGGACGATCAGTGTTGTGGTCAAAGGAGGATCAGTGTTGTGGTCTGCAAGCTGCAGAAGGGTGGGCCGAGGCTGAAAGACAGCGAGTTACTTACTTAAGTGAGACAGCCTAGTGAGGTCGTGAGAAGGGTGAGGATCGAACCCAGCCCCTGCCTTGTGCCGGCCCCCCGTCCCGTCCCGCCCCGCGCCGCACAGCTCTCCTCCCTTACAAGTTCATTCTGTGTCTTGTAAATTGCTATTGCATTCCTATCCCTGCTGTTCTGCCTTTGCTGAAACGCTTACCTCTACAGGTGTGCAGGAGGAGGTTGTGTTGTCTGGAAGTCTCCTATTAACGTGAGAGACTCCTGGTTCCCAGCTTCAGCCACCTAACGGATTCCTAACTTGTCCCACGTGCGGGAGGGTACCTAATTGGCCTATGCCATGGGGTGTGTGCATATGAATACCCTATATCCTATTAGGCTCTATCGGTCGCCGCCATTCTTAACAGTGCCTGTGTTACTGCATCTATAGCTCAGCAATAAAAGTATAATCGTTCCTGAATGCGTGTGCTTCGTTGTCAGCTGTGGGTTCCGACACCTCCGCCCGCTCTTCACGCTCCTTGCCCTTCTGTCTCCCCCACCGCCCGCCCACCCCCCTCCAGCCCAGCCTTTATGGATGAATATGAAAAGATTGAGGAGGAGCTGCAGAAGCAGTACAGCGGCTACTTGGAGAAGTTCCGGAACCTGGCCTACCTGGAGCAGCAGCTGGACGACCAGCACCGCATGGAGCAGGAGAGATTTGAGGTGAGGGGGGGCGTCTTCTCGGACATTGGCACCGATCCCTGTCTGGTTCTTATCTCTGCCTCTGAACGCGCCTCTTGTTCTCCCCAGCTTAACTCCTACAATACCAGAGTTACAAAAACATGGGGGGTGGGTGAACATAAGAACATAAGAGAGGCCAATGTTGGATCAGGCCAAAAGCCCATCCAGTCCAACACTCTGTGTCACACAGTGGCCAGAAATACCAGTGCCATCAGGAGGTCCAGCAGTGGGGCCAGGACATTAGAAGCCCTCCCACCGTTGCCCCCCCCCAAGCACCAAGAAGACAGAGCATCACTTGCCCCAGAGCCCCTATCTATACCTTGTGGCTAATAGCCACTGATGGACTTCTGCTCCATATGCATATCTAATTCCCTTTTGAAGCCGTCCATGCTTGTAGCCGCCACCACTTCCTGTGGAAGTGAACTTGGGTGGATATTGTCAGGGTTTAGTTCATTCCTTCAGTTTTGAATCATAAAAACCTGTGAAAATCAGACCATCAAGAAGACGAAGGAGGAAGAGAGGAAGAAGAGGAGGAGGAGCTGGTTTTATACCCCGCCCTTCACTACCTGAAGGCGTCTCAGAGCAACTTACCGTCGCCTTCCCTTCCCTTCCTCTCCCCGCAACAGACATCCTATGTGGTAGGTGGGGCTGAGAGCATTCTGAGAGAACAGCTCTGAGAGAACTGGGGCCGGCCCAAGGTCACCCAGCCGGCTTCATGCAGAGGAGGAGTGGGGAATCAAGCCCAGTTCTCCCAGAGTAGAGTCTGCTGCACTTCACCACGACACCAAGCCGGCTCTAGTCCAGCATCCTGTTTCCCACAGTGACCCATCTTCTGGCCCCTGAAAGATCTGCGCTGGTTGCCCATCTGTTTCCGGTCACAATATAAAGGCCGGTTCTTACCTTTAAGACCCCAAAAGGCTTGGGGGGCCAGAGTACCTGAAGGGCCATCTCCTCCCATATTGTCCAGCCCACCCGCTAAGACCGACCTCTCATGCTCTTCTCTCTAGGCCCCCGCCTTCAGAGGCGTGAGGGGCGGCGACTAGAGACAGGGCATTTCCTGTGGTGGCCTGAGAGCCAGTTTGGTGTAGTGGTTAAGTGTGCGGACTCTAATCTGGGAGAACCGGGTTTGATTCCCCACTCCTCCTCCACTTGCACCTGCTGATGTGACCTTGGGTCAGTCACAAGCTCTGGCACAGCTGTCCTTGAAAAACAGCAGTTTGTGTCAGAGTTCTCTCAGCCCCACCTGCCTCCCAGGGTGTCTGTTGTGGGGAGGGGAAGGGAAAGGAGTTTGTAAGCCACTCTGAGACTCCAAGGGAAGGGCGGAGTATAAATCCAATCTCTTCTTCTTCTTCTTCTCTTCTTCTTCTTCTTCTCCCCTTTGAGCCTCGCCTGGTGCCTATTTGACTTTCTTTTCAGGTGTCAGCCCAAAACAAATCGTTTTACTCAGGCTTTAAACAAGGGTTTTTAAAACCTTCAAGGTAAAGGTTCCCTTGCTCGAAAGCCAGTCGAGTCCAACTCTAGGGTTGCGGTGCTCATCTCCATTTCCAAGCCGAAGAGCCAGCGCTGTCCGAAGACATTTCCATGGTCATGTGGGCGGCATGACTAAACACCAAGGCGCCCGGAACGCTGTTCCCTTCCCACCGAAGTGGTCCCTATTTATCTACTTGCAATTTCTTGCTTTTGAACTGCTAGGTTGGCAGGAGCTGGAACTAGAGACGGGAGCTCACTCCGTCATGCGGCGCACTCGGGTCTCGAACTGCTGAACGACCGACCTTCCACAGCCTGCAGTTCAGCTACTTAACCACTTGAGCCACCGCAGCTCCTTTAAAACATTACTACCTTTTAAAACTGTCTGCTTCTGTTTTATGGGTGGTTTTTATGATATTTCTATCCAATGGCTTGTTTTCAGAGCGTTGCCTTGTTTTAATTGCAAGCCCGCTGGGAAGCAGGTGTCCTCTTCGGGCAGTGCCTCCTGCGTCCCTTTCCTCTTCTCGTTCCCCGTTGACCTCTTCAGTGTTTAACGGCAGGCAGAAACGGCAGGCAGAAATGAGAAGGCCGATTCGCGGGGATCGTAAGCACAAGTTTGCGAATGGCTCCAACTGGTTAACCCGGTGCTTCATTGCCTCTGTCTCTTGTTCTCGGAGAGGACTTGGCGTGCGTGGTAGTTCATCTATTGCAACGGCCTGCTTCTTTCAACAGTCCAGCGGATCGCTGACAGATTTCCTTGTCTTGATTTTCCTTTCGTCTTAGATAGCCAGTCTTTCAGAACCATAATATAGAGCGATTGATCCCCCCCCCACACACACACACACAGAGCGGTTTTCTAGCTGAACAGCGGGTTAAAAGGACAGCAGTTACCAGGTGATTAGGTTGATCTGCTACTCTAAAAGGGTGGAGGAATAGCCCCTCCCTGCGTGCTCATTGACAGATGAAAGTTTCCAGGGCGAAATCTCCCCGGACTCGAAAGATCAGCATTGAATAATGGGGCTGGCGGTCTGCGGTACGCTCGGTACGCGCTGTGATTGTGTGTGTCTCCGTGCTGATGTTTCGCCGCTGATGACATCCATTAAGAGAGCATTTCTTAATTGCAAAAAAAGGGGGGGGGTAGCATTTTAATTAACACAGCGCTGAACGGCTTCGCCTGCGACAGCCGCTTGAAACCGTTTTCCTCGCCCCGGAGGCCTGCAGTCACTGGCTGCATTCCATAATGCAACACTGTGGTCCTCTGCGCGCGGCTCATGATCCTTAGATGGGTTGTGGAGCGCCACTCAGCTCCGTAGCTAGAAATTTGGGGTTGGTGAGGCAGGGGAAATGGGGAAATTTTGGGAGGAAGTAGGGGAGGGGGGGAGAGGGGCGGCCGCACGCCTGATCAGGCACGGGCAGCCCCCGCTAGAAGACAGCATTGAAAGGGTTCCCTTTAAATGCTGTTTTTCTAGCGGGGGCTGCCCACACCTGATCAGGTGTGCGGCCACCCCTCTCCTTCACTTCCTGCAAGATGTCGTATGCCCCTTGTAAGCCGCCCTGAGCCCGCTCGCGGGGAGGGCAGGGTAAAAATGTCTAAATAAATAAAATAAATAAATGTAAAGGGCCTGCCGATCAGCTGGAGGGCCCTTTAAATCAGCTGGAGTGCCACAGGGCTCAGTCCTAGGCC